AGTATAACTAGTTTCTTCCGCGTGCGTTGTAAGCTAGGGATTTGGATCCAACCTCCGCGCTGTCGATTTGTGCTCCTGTAAGTATGTCTGAAATGCCCTCCCTGTTTCCCCAGCGTAATTGCAGTTCCCTCGTTACGAATTACTTTTTAGACAACCGCGGAGGTTTTTAGTGGGTGACAGTGTGTCATTGAGTTGCACTAAACGGCTGTGAACTGTTGCTTTGGGTCGGTGGGCTATGCCTACTCTGGCGGATTGTAACAGTCGAAAAACCGCCTCAGAGATTCCTTTAATGTAGCGAATTGCTCCTCAGACTTCTAATTGCCGTTCCCTTGGCCGTCGTTTGTTCGCTTGGTGCCTGCTTTTTCCGATAAAATGATTAGAGTATCCATTAACTTTTAATAAGTTCTGCAAGTATCGTCGTTAGCTATTATGTCTGCTAGCGTGTTGTAATAGGTTTCGATTCTTTGAAAACTACTTCGGTTCTAGCTGCGCTTGTGAGACAGAAGGTGATTGCTGTTAAAGTGTAGTATTTTATTTGAGTCGATGGCCCTTATAAACATTGTATTTTGCAATTGTTTGGTTGTACACCGGCGTTCAATCATGTCGAGAAAGGCCAGTTGATTGTTTGTTTACATTTGGTATTCAGATTCCAACTCTATCAGCGTCATTACGTACACGAAGCTGGGGACAAGACGCAGAACTCAAGAAAGCCACGCGGCCACAATCCGGGAACGAACTCAATCGACAAAGAAGATGAGCCGCCGGACCGAACAACGCCGACGGAGGCTCAATTGCCCCTCCCCACCCGCCACCCCTACCTTACCAGTGGAGTGACTCAGTCTATCTCAGCCAGCAGGACGTGGGTCCGCGTGTCGGCCGAGCAATTAACTTGTGGGCACATTTCTGGTTCCTCTGGGCCCGGGTATGGCTGACTGACGAGGTTCAGCAACCCTTAGTGTTCATTCGATTCTTATTAACATAGGGTGACGATTCGTGTAAGCCACACATTTTCTTCTTTTATACAGATGAACAGATAATATCCCTCCACCATTTAGCTTCAATGCATTCATATTACTTGGTTTGTGCACTTGGCCGTTGTAGTTAAGTCTAAGAAGACTGACAAATCGTTATCGTGGTGTACTCTTCGTAGTTTTAAACAAGGAAATGAGTCATCAGACAACGCGTGCGACGCTGGAGTTAAGTCACCAGGCCCGAACTTGCCCGACCCAGCCTCGACGATGAGCGTTTTGAGGGGATCCGGGTTACGTGTTTTGCTCAAGTGCGCGCGACATGGAGGGCCTCGCTGATAAATTCTGTTGGGGCTTACCTGGAGTAGCAACTCTTTTTATGTGTCTATCTTGTAAACATATCATTTAATTAAAATTCTTCTTCTGTTTTTGTCTGGGCAGACTATTAGTTAACCGGCATATGTGATTGGATAAATAGGAAATTTAGCAAAAAACGTCTAGTTGTCACATGTCTTTATTGGTCTCGAGTTAAGGCCTTTGGCGAAAGGTATCTAGCCTTCCAAATGGAAGATCAATTTTCTACAAATTCAGAAAAACATTTGGTCGTTTACAAATCATTATGCACTGAAAAATTAAAGAAGACGGGGTATGGCATTATATTTGCCTCTCCAAAAGATTATTCTTCCGAAAGGTGAAAACTAAACTAGTAACACAAGGTTTGTTGAACATTTGCAGGGCACTGTCAATAAACACCAATCCATAAGGCCAAAAGCCTGCTGGACCTTGACAAAAGTGTAAAATTCTTCCTAGAATACAGGATGCGGCAGTTTTAAAATCATAATTGGTGACTTAAAAATGACTTTGCTGGAAATATGACCGAACATTCTAGAGAAAATACAAGCAGTTGTTAACATTGG